AGCAGTGCTAATTCTAATCAATAAGTGGTCAATCTGTCTTTTAGAAAATTCCAAACCATTGTCAGTGGCTTCCTCCATTGCTCATGTGGTCCCCTCTCTCCAATAATCTCCACTGCCATAACTCTCATAAAGTTATCCTTTGTACTAATTTTTACTCATTGTTTAATCTCCAGTACCTTTTGTAGGGTTTAGCATTCAAAATTATGCAATAAATATTTAATGAATGAATGAAAGACTAAGTGAAACAAAGGTCATATCTTCACAAATCCTCACACTTAATCAGTTCTTGGTAATTGTTAAATAGGTCCAAGGCATCCCCTCTTCTATCAAAGTTTACTTCTTCTAAATTCAATTCCTTGGGATTATAGCTCACTATGAGTCAATTAATGCAATAGTTCAAAAAGATGATTCATGTGTTAATATGCTTCTTCTTTCAAATTTGTATCTTAGACAGAGATCTTAAATATTTTTTTTACTCTCACACAGGTAACTAATACTTGGAATTTCAGGAACCATGGCAGGCTGGAAAGATGGAGTTTCTCAAATCTTATCACATGGACACATCTTCTGTCTATACAAAAGAGAGACGTTGATGTGGTCAAAGAATCTTTAGACCAGCTACTTTCTGACAGGTATTTTGTTATATGTGTTTTCAGAGAGTGACAGAAAGCACTGTGAATGGTGAGGGGATAAGCCTCGTAGTCAGTGATACCACAGAAAGTTTGGGGACCAATGCATTTTGAAGATTTTTTCTAATTACCTGTAAGATGACAACGGCAGTATTACATAAATAACATTAAACTAAAAAGAGGCTCTTGGGCTTCCCTGGTGGCGCAGTGGTTGAGAAACTGCCTGCCAATGCAGGGGGACACGGGTTCAAGCCCTGGTCTGGGAGGATCCCACATGCCGCGGTGCAACTGAGCCCGTGAGCCACAACTACTGAGCCTGCGCGTCTGGAGCCTGTGCTCCGCAACAAGAGAGGCCGCGATAGTGAGAGGCCTGTGCACCGCGATGAAGAGTGGCCCCCACTTGCCACAACTACAGAAAGCCCTCGCACAGAAACGAAGACCCAACACAGACAAAAAATAAATAAAATAAATTAATAAAAGGAGCCTCTTTTGGACAACTGAATGTCAGAGAACTTAGTTTGCCAAACAAACACTTTGCTTTTGGAAGGGGGTTTGGTTTACTGTTTCATTTTATTTTTACACATAAAAATTTAAAATATATAATACATTTGTAAGATAACTGTATTCCTTATGATTTTTAAAAAAGGACTGATTGCACTTATGTTTGGAATTTTCTATGTATAGCAGGAAACAAAAATGGCTTTTGAAAATTGGTATTTCGACTTCTGTATCGTGAGAAACTGGTGATTATATAAACATACAATTTTAAAATCATTATTTTAAAATAATGATATTTCTATGTTTAGAAATGAAATAAATAAAAGGCATTTGGTATTAAAAATGTCATTATTCCAAGAGCTACTAGTCAATATTGGATGATCTAATCATGTTAAAACATTATATAGGGCAAACATTTTACTACTGTGATCCCTACCTTTGCTAATGACAATAAAGTAATAAAGTCCAAGAATCTTTTCTCACTGATTTTAGGGTTTAATTTTTGTTTATATTTTCATGTGGAGAGATGATGTTCTGAGAATCCAACATCATCAAGTCCAACTTTTTACAAGTGACTCGGGAGAAAGTAAAAATCTTTTCAGGACCCCTATTCTTTTTCTTATAAAAAAGATCAAAATAATTGAGCATTGCTATCAACTACTGAAGAAAGTCCAAGAAAAAGATGAAATGTTTATAAAAAAATGGAAAACATAATATTCTCAAGGTAATTCATAATTATGATATCCTATGAACTAACCTGTCAGTCATTCTACCTGGCAAACAGAGGAAGCAAAGTCTGTGAATACAAACAGCATATTCTAAAAGATCATTCTAAGGTAGTACCAGAGAAGTCGTTCATCACTGATGATGACGATGAGAAAAAGAAAATCTGTCCCACACAAAAGCTGCCAGGGTGTCACCAAGATTAGCCATCTGAAGAAAGGTAACCCATTCATTGGTTGGTCTGTGATCTTGGACTTAGGACTTCTGGCTCAGTACTAAAAATAAGTATAGAGCAGCTAGATTCTTTCTCATTTATTTGACTAGGAAGATTTAGAGAGGAGAAGCCATTATCTCTGGGAACAGATGTTCAAAAGTTATCATGTAACAAGAAACATCACTGGAGCTCATGCTAAACTCTCACAGGGTAAGTTTACGAAGACACAGAAACTTGAGAAAGCAGTGGACGCCACTAAGTGTTCGGGGCAAACACATTTTTTTCTCTAGTCAACAGCCATTTCCATTTTGTTTCTGCTGATAAAACCTCTGATTTTGTTTGTATAGTAAGTGACTAGTCAGAAAGGTTGAATTATGACTGGTCTAAGCCCAGTGGTCTGTTAGGATAAGCTTATACCTAACATAAAAATAGGCTCACAAGAGCTATTTGTATGCATCTCTTCCCAATTCAGAGATCAATGATATCGCAGTGGCAGCTGGAAACTCACCCGTGTGGGAGTATTTATGTCACAGAAATCAGCAAGTGCTGCAAATTAGTACTACTACTCTCTCTGGCTCGAGTCAGTTGTTAACCATTTATCAGTACTCTAAGCCCATCATGGAAACCCCATTTCCTTTTGTCATCAATTGGTCCAGAAGTAGGTACAGGACCAAGTTCTGACTTATGATTAGAGAAAATCTGACGGAAGGCATCTGGGAAAGACTTTCTCCTTGATAAGTTAAAGCCAACAAGCCACCTTGCCTTCCTGCTTTAAGTGATATTGTGTAGCACTTTGAGATGTAAAATGAGGGAAGGTCAATAGAAATCCAGAGATGCCTACATAGGTCATTAATAACCTCAAACCACAACCAAACTGGCAATCAAAGGGTAGGAAAGTGAGAACAGTCCACACCAGGTATAGAAAATAGTGGAGTGCACTGTTTGTAGAGAATTTAAAAACAATAATGAAACAAATTAAATATGAATCCACTTTTTATTATTACCCTGTACTGGCAATTCCAAAACATGTTAGTGATAAGATACTCCTCCCCACATACAGGGACTATTCCTATCCAAGTCCTCTGGTGTGCTAGGGCCAGTAAGTCTAGAATCAACTATCCTAAACATCTAGTTACATGAGATAATTAAAGGTTTTTGTGATTTAAGCAACTTTCATATGAGTTTTCTGTTACATGCAGGCTCTTAAGTACTATGGTTTTTCACAAAAAGTAACAGACTCAGGTTAATCCAGCACTGAAAGGAAAATAGGAGCTTCTGCTCTGAGGACCCACAGAGCTGCTTAGATCCCAAGCTCCCCACAGCTCTAATCACACAAGGCCTGGCCAGTTATGGCTCCTATTCTTACACGTTCAGGAGATTTTCCCTATTCTGCCATCAGCTTAATTATAATAAACTGCCTTTACATTGACCAGTGTGAGTAGGTTTGCCTTGTAACCAAAAGAACCAACTAAAAATCAGAACCTGGCATTTAATAACTAAATTACAAAAGACTGACCCAACATAAGACATTGATTGGATTCACACTGCAAAGTCTATACTAAGAGGATAGCAAACAGACAGAAATATGCTTAACATAGCATTGCTTATAGTAGTTAAAATTTATCTAAATGCTCATGAAAGAAAAGATAAATGAATGATTTTTTGAAGAAAATACAACAATGTGGGAAAATTCAGCCAACTATTACTTGTAAAAAGGCAATACATAATTACACAATTATTTGAAAACACACACAGACACACACACACACACACACATATATGCTGGTTGGAAATAAATCACATATTAGTAGTTGTTATTTCTGAATAGTGTTATCAAGGGATTTTAGTATTTCTCCTGTTCATTTTCTATTATTTCCAAAGTTTTAGCTCTAAAGAAATAAAACAATCTAAAGTAGTTAATTAGTACATATTTCCTTTTCACTAGTATATTATGAAAATACACCAGGTTTCAGGATATTGTTCACAATGAGAAAGCATACATATATGAAAATAATTAAATCGATAAGGTAGATAAAATACAATCAGGAAACTTTAAAAAAGATAAAATGATGTTAGAAACTCATAATAAATTGCATTTTATAAAAAGAATCATCACATTCCAAGAAAATCTCTCTCTCAGAAAAAAATATGTAATTTATTTTAGTGAGAGGCTTAATTGTTAAGAGAATAAAACAATTAAAAAATATTTAGTTATTTGCTGTTACAACAGTATAATCAAAACCTGAGTTATGCTTCTAAGAATATAGCTTTATGAGAGTAATTTCACAACCTTATGGGACGCTATTCTAATATATGATGAGAGAATTATCTGAATTTGATGAGGAATCTCAAGCCTGTCTGTTATTGATGTAGTTAGATGTTTAGTCTTGTTTATTTTATTCTTTAGATCACCACTATTCAAATACATATAGTGGTAGTTGAAGTATATATTATATCTCAAATCAATGAAGAGTTTTCCCAGTAATATACTTTTTTTTTTTCTGAGAAAAATCTGGTTGGGAAAAAAGTGCAGGAAAATGAAGAGATATAACTATATTAAAAGGTGGGGGGAATGATGATTTATCTGTAAAGCCAGGAGATGCCTAAATTTTCCACATGCTATTTTCAATTATGCTTTGCCCATGAACAGGAATTTCTTTTAGAGAGTGTAAATTGTTGAGGTGTATGGATTGCAAGGCATGAGGCTCATTATCCTAGCGTAGATCATATGTAGCAGCACTTTGCTTCAGAAAGGCTATCACTAGAAAAAAGTCTCATAATATTTCATAAAATTCATTACATTCAGTATCATCCTATTACAATTTGTATGGAAACACAAAAGACCCCCAAGAGCCAAAGCAATCTTGAGAAAGAAAAACGGAGCTATTTCATAAAATTACAAGAGCAAATATAGAAATTAAAAGATAAAACCATACCAGATACAGCAAGGAAGTCATCAATGCTTGTAATGTCATCTACAGCTTCAGTGAGGACATGGATATGATTCTCCCACGTGCATCTGTACATTTCCATGGTTTTTTTGACCACTTGACTTTTGGGTCTTGCAGCCAAAGCAAGTGCAGCATTAATAATCTGTAAAGATGTAGAATGTTCACATAGTGATTTCTTTCAGAATAGTTACCATTGTGCCTATGACAGGTATTCTTTTTTTTAAAAAATTAGATATGTTTATGCCCTCATGTGTAACTCCTTCTTTGCTTTTGCTAATAGTTTAATTTTATTTTTGGTAATAATTTAATTAATTTTAGAACTGTTTATTGAGCATCAATGCACTAAGAACTGCAAGAGATACAAAGATAATTGGTATCTGCCTATAAGAAGCTTGCATACTACTCAATGGGAAGGGCACCATATAACTCCAGCTCAGGTCGGGATGCAATACATGCCATAATTACAAAAATGATAGACGGTCTTTAGAAAGTAGAGAGATCACCTTCAGCAGAAGTTCTAAGAAAAGGTTGTGAAAAAGGTGCAGGAAAATGAAGAGATATAACTATATTAAAGGGGGCAGGGAAATGATGATTTATTTGAAAAGCCAGGAAATGCTTACATTTAACTGGTCACTTGGAGTCACACTGCACAACTATGTGGTGAATGCCCATTATATGCAAATCACGGGAATAAAAGCTTGACTTCCTTGAGGATTTGAACATTTTTACCAGTAGATATTCCCTGTTAATTAATTAATTCATTCGTTTGTGCATTCACTCATCATTCAGTATTTCAAATATATTGAGTGTTTTTTGTTTTTGTTTTTGTTTTTTTCATGTATCAAGCACTGTTCTTGATTTCAGGGATATGGCAGTGAACAAGACACAAGCAAAAATCATTTTCTTCATGGAGCTTATATTCCAGTTAGGGGAGGCAGGCGAATAGCAAGTTAAATAAGTAAAATATATGGTCTCTTCGATGGTTATAAGAAATAAGGAGAGAAACAGAGCAGAGAAGGGGGATAAGGGGTGGAATGGTGGTGAGGGTAGGAAGTCTGCAGTTTTAGCAAGGCCTCACACTGAAGTGGACATCATGGGTGAGAAAGTATTGTGGAACAGAGAAGTAGCAGTATTCAATAGTGAGAAAGCAGGCTAAATGCTATGAGAATGGTGAGCAGGCTCACCTAGACCCTGGCTATGCATAAGGAGTCCTTGACCATCTTGCTCAGGACTGTGACCTTATTTGGAAGGTACTGGAGCATCATTTAAACTTTTGAGTGATCTGCTCAGAACTACACTTTAGAAAATCTTATTTGGCAAACAAGGCTACTTTAATAGGTTACAGGAATAAGAAAGAGTTCGGACTGCAGTGGTGGACGTACTGAAAAAGTTTTGACAGGACTTACAATAATTTAAAGGAGGATATGGATAGATCAATTATTGCCAAAAATATCATGCAGACATTAACACATCTGTGGGAAACAATGCTTAAAGACTTGGAAATATATCCACCAAAGTGTAGGTAACAGCAGATTACAAAACACATCAAGCTTCATAGAATGTCGCTTCCAGCAAATATGCTAGAACTAAAAGTTAGATGAATCCATACAACAAATAACAATGGTTCTCTCAGAGTGGTGGAATTTCCAGTGCTTTTTATTTGATTTTGTGTGTGTAACTGAATTTTTCAGATTTTCTACAGTGAATATGTTTTAGTCGTATACTCAGAATAAATGAAGTTATTCTCTAAAGGAAGTGATTGCTAAGGTTTTTCCATGATTAATGAAGAGAATGATTATAGTATTGATAGAAAATGAGAGATCAGAGAGTTAAAAAGTCAGTCAGGGTTGTAGAAGCAGATGTGTGAAACTATTCTGGAGGACACTGTTGATGAAGGGTATTAGATGTCAACTTTCCTAATACAGAGGTTGACTCTGAAGTGACTCTTGTCTCTCCCTACAAATTACATAGTGGCCAATCACAGATGTGAAATCGGAGTTCATAAAAAAGTTGTCATTCATTTACTCATTTACTTGTTCATGCGTTGAAACAAATTAGTGCCATCAGATTCTACATGGAATACTAAAGACATCACAATGAAGAAGATTCCATCATAATTTCTAAAAGAGCCCATAATCTAGAAGGGGAATAAGCCAAAAGCCAGGCAACTGCAACATACCGGTGATTCTCAAACTTTAGCCTCTATCAGAATCCCCTTGGATGGCTTGTTAAAAAACAGATTCCTGAGCCGTGCTCTAGAGTTTCTGACTCAGTTAATGTGCTTTGGAGCCTGAGAATTTGCACGTCTAACCAATTCCCAGGTGATACTGATGCTACTGGTCGGGGGCTCCCAGTTTGAGAACGACTGCAATATATAAGTGCTATAATGTAGGGGTTATTGTAAAGGCAAGCAGAAGATGCCTTATAACACATGGGAGAGGTATTCAGCTCCATAAGGAAAGGTGTTTCAAAGGAATAAAATCTGAGAAATAAGTGGAAATTAGCATAAGGTGATACCCATTTAGGAAGAGGCAATAACATGTGATAATAATGATGATGACCTAGAAGCAAGGTAGAGCCTAAACCTCACCTCCTGAGGGGGAGGAAATAGCAATAAAGTTGTAAGAAAATCAAAGAAGACAATGGAGAAAGGGAGGAAAGAACTCACCTTTGTGTTCCAATATAAAGTACCAGTATGTATGAGGAAAGGATACAGTGGAAGTGATAAAGATGAGAGAAGGAATCATTGGGGAGGTAGAAAAGTAAGGTACTGAAGAGTCAAGACGAGGAAGAAAATCTTTTCAAAGGGTCAAATGCCACAGAAATGTCAAGAATAATGAGGACTAAAAATGGCTTTTGAATTTGGAAAACAGGAATAATTGGTGTAGCAGAATACTGGATACAAAATTCAGATTTCACCAAAATATAATGGCAACAATAAAAATAATTTTTTTCTACTCAGTAACCTAAAGGCTGCACCTTACATACATGACTTTCAACAAATTATTGGAGGTACAGAAGGAGAGAAATTAGTTGCCTGAAAATATTATGTTGATATTCTCATTTCTTTTTTATGAAAGAGGAACACATTGAATTTTAAGGAAACACACACTACCTTTAGAAATAACAACTCCGCAGTATTCCTGGACTTTAGTTTTACAGTTTTATTAACCTATTAACTTACAATGTACGTTTGTGTACACTGCAGAGGCTCTGGTCTCTGGTGTTTCATTGCCCTGAAGTTGAACAACTGTACACATGTGGTTGTGTACAGTTATGCCTTCACACGCTGTGCATAGTGTTAAAATACTTGTGCAGATCCCTCAGTGGAGATATGGAATCATGAATATAAGGCAGGCTATATTTTGTAAGAAAACTTCCAGTCCTGCAGCTGATCCAATTTACTGATTCAACAAAGAACACTGTAAGAAAATTTATCCTACTTGACTCTCCTGATATTTAGCTTAAATCTAAAAGCAGACAAAACTCAGAAGATGTGCAAACCCTCTTTAAGGCAGAAGAAATCTTCATCCCAGAGTCATGCTCCTAACATTTTAGCTCCATATCTAGAGGTGGGGGGGGGGAACTATTCTTAAATCCTCTTCATGTGTAACTAAAGATGACTTAAATCTTAAGCGAATGATGTTGCTTTCTGAGGCATCTTTCTTTAGATTATGGTTGAGGTGTGTACATGTCAGAATCACCCTTGACCCCGAGAATCACCTAATTAGTTCACCTTTGACATAGTATCTTTAACTTTAATAACTTACTATATCTTAATAGGACTACTTTAATAGCCTTCCAAATAGTTTCCTAATTCCAGTCCCTAATTGCTCCAGGCCATTCTCCTTGCTACAAACACATGTATTTTTCGAATGCACAAGGGATCCTGTCCCACCATGCCTGATAACCTTTGATAGAATCCTAGTTGACTGAAGATAAAATCCAAATTCCTTTTCACCAATTCACAGTCTAAAAGCCTCCACAGGCTAGCCCTTACCTCCATTTTCAGTCTGCTGTAATAATCTCCCTCATTTTAGCCTACATTCCAGCCATCCTGTCTTCAGCTCCATTTTCTGACCACATCATGTATCTTCACACCTCCATGACTTTGTTCTTACAACTGAATCTGCTTCAACACCATTGCTCCATCCCTTTCCCTGCTCTGGTCCTTCTGAGGAAACATTTCTTTAACAAACCTGTTGAAATGTCATTTCATACTGTGAAGCCTGTCCCTTTCCCTATACCCAGAAACCTGAATTGTCTTTGGTGTTTTAAAAGTACTTTGTCCATATAACTAAATAGTAGTTATCATATTGCATGATTGTTTATACACATCTCCATATGAGCCTTTTTATAGGAGGGACTGTGTTTTATTCATCTTTGCTTCTATACTAAGCATGTTAATCATAGTTACTGCCATATTCATAAACCGTCCCTAAAACATATTTTTCTACTCCTAGTCTACTCTTAGCTCCATAGGGAGCCAAGTTTGGTATCACATTTTTCCCTCTTCATAACTGTTGAGATCATAGGCTGGCACCCACTTCAAGGACATCTAATCTGTAGGCTGACCAGTGATTGGTCATGGGCATGATGTAAAAGGTTGAGCTGGTCAAATCTCTCTTGAAAATTTGAACTAGAACTTACAGAGAAACAGTTAGTTAGCAATGGAAATGAAAGATGAAGAAAAAAAAAATATATATATATATATAGAGAGAGAAGCCATCTAGTAAAATCAGAACCAGAGGGGCTGATGGGGTTAAGGCCATGAGGAAGTAGAACAAACCAAAGTTGAAAGGAAAAAGAAACTATGGGCTTGAAGTTATTATGTAAAGAAAAGAATGAGCATAGAGTAAAATAAGCCAGTGGATTGAAAGAAAAATGGAGAAAATATGTAAAGAGAGTCAAAAGCACCAACAGAGAGAAAATACTCAGAAAAAAAAAGAGCTGGGAGTTGACTCTTTTTGAGAGCTTCCTATTTGGGGTTAACAGTCCACAGAAAAAATAATAGCAATAATAATAAATACTAATACTCAAAGCCCCTGCTCTGTGCCACACACTGTTCCAAGCACTTTCTCTATACTAACCCACCTAATTTTTACAACTCTGTGAGGTATTACCATCCCCAGTTTTCAGACA